AGCCTCCGTCCTCCCCAGGCCTAGTGGGGGGAAAGGGGAGGACCCCTGGTCAAAAACGCCAGAGCTGCTCACCCTCCAGGCAGGGTTGGTGCCTGCTGGCAGTGGACAAAGGCCGGGCCTTGTCCCAGAGATGCGCCAGGCACCAAGGAAACCGGGTCTGTGTCCTCCCAGTGGACGCGGTTTCTCCAGTGGGTCTGGGCAGCGGCAGCCGCTGCTACGCCCCAGCCCGGGTGCCCGTCCAGTGGCCCTAGGCTGCCCTAGATGGGCGAGCTGCAGAGTCCCCACTGCCGGGGGGCTAGCTGGTTATCAGAACAGCCAGGCATTCAGGTTCTGGGCTGTCAGGGCACAAGGAACCCACCAGTCTTCTAAAATATATTTTTAAAACTAGTCATTACCCTCCTTTCTCACATCATAGCACGACTGCTTTATAACCAAGTTGCATCAGCCAGTTTTATCTATGAGGCCTACGAGCTCAACAAATTTAGCAGACAGCCTGGTGAACAAAGGGAGAATGAATTGTTACAAAGGAGCGTTTGTGTAATTGGAAAGCAGCGCATGGTCCGGGAGAGTTCTCTGCCAACACAACTGGGCCCAGGGTAACGCCCCCTGGGACTGTGGATCGTGTTCGGGTGACCATGTGTCCTTGTGTGCCCGGTTCAGTCCAGGTGTGTGCCTGCTGTCCCAGTTGTATTATTAAAAGGACCCCCTTTCACTCTCAGGAGTATCCAGGTTTGGATGACAAGCCGTTAAGTCACCCTAATTCACTGTGTACGTGGAAGTGGTTAGCGGCACTGAGCACGGACGTGCAGTGTGGACAGAACGTTTCAGTGCAAACCTGGGCCCGTGCTGTGCTTTCAGACCTTGGCTGTGGGTTAGCACCGTCGCATGGTCATGGCTAAGTCACTTAAGCATTTCACAGCCCATGCGGCTTTGAGGTGAGATCTTGGGCCCAAAACTCCCATAAGTAGTGGCTCAGATCCTCTCTCACAGCCTGCTAGCTTTGACCTTTACAAAATTATTCAGCTTTTTGAATAACGTATGAACCTCTCAGCGTTGGTATAGTTAATAGTTATTAAATACTCTATGTAAAACGTGCAACTTACTTCCTGACGTGTAATGGGCCGCCAGCACATGGTGGCTGCCGTTATTGTTATTATTGTTATTCCAGGACTGTGACCATTTGGGCTTTAGTCTGTTCATCCGGGAACTGGTGAGAGATGAGTCCTGTCTTTCCCTGCTTCCCAGGCTGCATCCCAGAAGCCTGTGTCCCAGGAGTGTGTGTGCTGGCGGGGCCGGGGACTGTCGGCAGAGTGCCACCCGCCCGCCCAGCCGGTCCGTCCCTCTGGGAGATGGGAACCGGGTTCCCAAGACATCATCCCCTCCACCCACCTCAATGACTGTCCCATCTCAGGCCCTCCCTCTGTCCCCTCTCCAGCCCAGCTACTCCCTCCTCCCACAAGTAGTGCTGTGTAAACACCGGGACCAGGATGCCATTTACTGGTGTCAGCTGACACTGGTGGGCTGCCACCCAGAGGGCACCAGAGACCAACTTTGGGGTCCTGCCTGCACACACCATCTCAACAGTCCCTGCCTGGGGACTTCCCTCTCTCCCTGCTCTCCTTGGGAATGACGGTGTCAGCTGGTCCTAGTGCTGCTTTCTCTTTCTTTCCACTCACAAAGTTCGAGCCAGACTACCTAAATGCACACCTTGGCTCCATCTCACAAAAGCTGAATCCCTTGGACAAGTGACTTAACCAGTCTGTGCCTCAGTTCCCTCATCTGCAAAGGGGGCAATAGCAATGCCTACCTTGTACGGTTGCTGTGAACTTTCGGGAAGTTACTAGATGCACGGTGTTAATCAAAGCCCGACACACAGTAGGTACTTGATAAGCATTAGCTATTTTTATTATCTAAACACCTGCCCCTTCTGATATTTCTTAATGTTGGTCCTGCTCCAGGTATCATTAGAAAGAGGCCACTGATTCAGTCTAAGCTCTGCCACTGGTGAGCTGTGGGACTTTGCACAAGCTCGCTCCCATGCCGGGGTCAGGATGTGAGGTGACACCTGTTCAAGTCCTGGTTCGGTTCTGGGACCCTGGATATGTCATCTCATGTCTCTGCATTTCAGCTTCTCTGCTTTTAAAACAAGGCGATCTCTCCTGCTTTGTATCTCTCTCGAAATGGCCAGAGAAGACGAGAAATTGACAAGCTCTTTGCTGTTCTCCACGCGCCGCAGAGGCGGTGCTGGTGCTGCCCGGCGCAGGGAGAGGGGCCGTGGGGGCGCTGGCCACGGCTGCGGTGCTGGGTGAGGCGATGCTGCCTGCGGAGACCCCCATGGGAGCTGGAAGTTTCCTTCCCTACTTGATCTCTGTTTTCACTGCGGGACATTTGGCCCGTGGGTGACTCACACAACAGAAACCACCAGCAGTCACTTCAAAAACCTTGGACTCCTCTCAAACATACACTTTACTTTTTGCTTCTCTGTGTTTGTTTGGATTGGGAGTGGGGGTAATTTACAGCATCAGGGCTGATCCCAGGGTGGCCGTTCCCTGCGGGACCTCGAGGGAGCCCTGCCCTCATGGGGCCTCTGCGGCTGCCTCCATCGGCTGGGAGGAGGAGGGTGGTGAGGGCTGAATCAGGACACGTGCTATCCAAATGCCAGTCCTTGGACCAGAGCCAGGTCGGGGGCACTAAACCCCTCCCAGAAGATTTTTAACCATACAAATCTCCTGTCCCCTACTGTGGGTTGGGTCTGTCCTTATTATTAGCTTCCCAGATGCACAGCGCGTTTGGGGGAAGCGCTGGAGGGGTGGGGTGGTCCCGGGGCCTTGTCTGCTGGGGGGCTCTACGTGCTCTGCCCCCTCCTGGTGCCCACTGGGGATGTAAAGCACTATTAGTATTAGTATTAAAGTACTGAGTTGCTATTTGTGTAGTTGTTCAACTTACCAGGTGACTGCCATCCTTAATGCTGTATATGTGGAGTTTGGGAACCCACGTAAGCATCTGTAAGTAAGTAGAGTAGACACAGTGGATAAAAAGCATGCAGGAAGGATCTTAGGTTCACCATCTGGAGGAGACTCAGCGTTCTGCAGAACTGACCCTCCTGGTTTTGCAGTAGAGGATGGCTGCATTCTTGCTGAGCCCGGTTGGGCAAATCAGTCCCAAATCGGCACACGCTGAAAACGGGTTATCATTCTGAGAACATTTGAGAGAGGAAAGCAATGGGGCTGGGATAACTCCCCCTGATACCTGGTCACGTCAGCAGCTTCTCTCTGGCTTCCAGATCCTTCTGTGACACGCCTGTGCCTCACAGCCAAGAGATGAGGGATGTGCTCTTACCCCAGGCTCCTCCTTTGGAAATTCTCCTCCCTGGGTGCCAGGCCGCACCTGCGTGTGTGGGAAGCAGCCCCGTGCCAGGCCAGCTCTGTGGCACGAAGTGGAATTTATGGGCGCCCACCCTGAGTCCCCAGGAAAGCAACTTCTCTCTCCCCCTACTCCCCGTTATCACTGTGACCCGCTTTCCCAAACTGCAAGGCTGGGCTCCACAAATGTCCCCTCCAAAGTCACTTTCTCAGCGGGCCAAGGACGTCTCAGAGTTGCTGTGTTTTCTGTATCATTTCCTTCCCTCCTCCCCCCCCCACTTCCTGTTTTTTCTTCCTCTTTCTCCACCCCCACCCCATCTCTCCTGGCATGTCCCCTGTTGTCCGAGAACAGGAACAGAGCCCAGAGCCAGGGAGCATTGATAGTCCTGACTTCCTGAGGTGGCCTCTTGCTGCCAGCCCAGGCTCTGGGGGCCTGCGCGCCCCGGCTGGGAGCCGGGCAGGAAGCGCGGTCTGTAGAGCCCCCTGTCAGAAGGAGGAGATAATAAGAATAATCCCTCACGTCCGTGTAACAGTACCAGCTTCCGAAGAAGCTGCATTTCTCATGCATTTGAGCTGTTCTCAAGCATTTGAGCTAAAACATTGGAAAAATTAGACCATTCTGAGTGTTGTGGCCTAATAACTCACCATAGTCCAGTTTAGATGACAGAAAGATTTAGGAGTTAGACTCGGGTTCGTTTTTGGTTCTGCCCTGTCTTCTCTTTATGACTCTGTGCATCATTCCAGCTCTTGAATGCCTTGTTTTCTACCTCTTTGGAAAAAATGAAGTTAATGGTATCTCACGGGGATTTTTTTGAGGACAAATGAGGAAAACGTATCTTTAAAATTCTCATGGTATGCCTGGCAGATAGTTGTTTAATAAATGTGAACTCTCTTCTGTTTTTCTATGAGTTTCTACACAGAGGAGTGGCCGTTCAGATGTACAATAGCCAGAAAAAAATCTCGTGGTAAATGACACTCATGGAAGGGGAGCCCGTGTCTGTTACTGTTTCCCTGAAACACGGGGAGGTGGCGAGAGAGACACCTGGGTGCACACATGCTTGTCACTGAAAAACAGCCCACCCATGGCCGCGTCACCGAGTGCCTGGGTCGTGGTATTCCACAACAATATTTTTCTAATGGAAAACAGGGAGAAGCATCCCAACCACATGCCTGAGGTGAACTGTTTTACTAATTTAGCTCCCAGGGGTAAAACTGCAAAAACAGCAATCTGGAAAAAGTGTCACCTCCCTGTTTGAAAATCTGTTTTAAAAAACCGATAAAAACAACAACAACAAAAAACCCTTCTCATTCAAGGTCAATGACCACTTGTTTGAGAAGTCAGCCTGACCATGTGTCTGCATTTAAAAAAATTCCACAGGCCAAAGAGTCAGAGTCATGTTTCAGTGTGGATTCTGCTCCCAAACTGCTGAAGCCGCGGGTGAGGCTGCTTTGTTCTCTGAGCCTCGACTTCCCCAACTGTAAAATGAAAGAATTAGATAAGATTATCTCATAGATATCTTCCAGCCCTGGCAATGTATGATCTTGTGACTTTCTCTGCTCTCCTTTAAAAAATACATTGTGATTGGAGGAGAACAGGAAGTTGCCTCTCTTGGTAACATGACTTGCGCTCTCTCTTAGCAGGGCCAGCTTTAGGACAGAGAAGCTGTGGGACTCCCGGAGGCCACAGTCCTAATTTGGGGAGCCGGACGTGCCTTGGCCAGACAGAGGCTCAGCTGGTTCGTCCCATCAGCCTGGATTGGTGAAACTGAACCCTTAAGAGATATTTCCAGGTAAGAAGCAACTGACTTTGGTTGTAGCCTATATGGCACAATAATAACCATCACTGTAATGAAGCGGGGACGTAATGTGCACACTTACAGAAGACTTGAAACTGTTAAAGATGTTCATTTGACCCAATTTGTCTTCATTGATTAGAAGCCATACCTCCCAACATCACGTACATCTAAAGAAAGACAAGCAAAAGAAAAGACATACATAATAATTGACAAGCACTGTAAGTTGATTGTCATTTTGAAGTAAAGGCCCCTGGGTTCTGTAGCTGTATTTTCAGTGGGATCTGTGCCATCTTGAGTCTTTTGGGTGTTTAGGGATAAAATAAAGTAGCTTAGAAGTACATGCAGGGGAGGAACAGATTGGAGCTGTAGATCTAGGTTCTTTTTCCTTGCAGAATCCACTTAAGATAGAGCCAGTCAGTGCTCCTTCCTGCCCATCCTGGCCAGCCAGATTTAAATAAGCAAGAGGAGAAGTCCTTTGGTAGCCAACCTGAGACAGAATGTAGGTCTCATGTTAGAGACCTTACTTGCACCCCGCTTGCTATCCCATGTTTAAAGACAAATTCAGTTCATAAAATTATCAACCAAGAGCACTTGCAGTGGGCAGGCTACAGTGAACCACTCCATTGCCCTCTTCCCTGACCACTTACACATTGGTTCTGTCTTGGTACTGTCCACCTTCTCCTAATCAGGTATGGACATTTTTCTTCTTATGTGCAAGAATATGGCCACATCTACTTGAATGTCTTCACTGGACTTGCACTTGGTGTAGGCTGACATTTTTTCCAGGTGATTAAAGATCTGTTGAGGGTTCACCTCTCTGGACTCAAGTGTATTAACACATCTCCCTTAGGAGGAAGGGGAAATGCTTTGGGAATTAGACAGACCTTACTTCAAATTTCAGCTCTGCTATTTATTGGTTCAGTGATACTGCTTACATTGTTTTAAATTCCTGAGCTTCTGTTTCCCTGCCTGTAAGATGGGGACAGGACATTCTGCGACAGGACGCCACATTCTATGGTGGTGGAGATTAGATGAGAGCAGACCTGAGTATAGTTTCTTACTTATAGGAGCCCTCAGCAACTGTTAGCTCCTTCCCCACCCTGCCTTTTTCAGAGCTACTTAAATATAGCTTTGATCTCATATCCGGATTCCACTGGAACCTTGTGCCTAAAATCCAGTGCCAGGCCTTGTCCATAAACACCGTTAGTCCCAGCAAGTTAAAGAGGAGAGAAGCTGTTAACAGGCCTTTGATTTCAGAGCCCCCTCCACCAGCAGCCTTTCCTCACCCGGGCTTGGTCAGCTTGTCTCTCTGGCCTGGTGTTGGAAGGTTTGCTCTGTGATATCCAAATTTAGGCCACTGCTCCCCTAACCCCTTGACACCATCCTTTGGCCCATGAGTTATTAGCTAAAAACTAACTCCCTCCCTGTGGCTTTTTCGCTTGAGACTAGCATACTTCCAAGACCCAGAGAAATGGGCCAGTTGATCCGGGGCAGGCACCGTGGCCCAGCACTCAGCCAGACGGTTAGGGCTCAAGCTCGTGTGCATCCAGGGCTTTCTCCCTTACCTGTACCTACATGACATCAGGTAGTGGAAGGTGTTAAGGAAGAAAAAGAAGGAAGGAAGGAAGGAAGGAAGGAAGGAAGGAAGGAAGAAGGAAGGAGGGAGGGAGGGAGGGAGGGAGGGAGGGAGGGAGGAGGGAGGGAGGGAAGAGAAAGAAAGGAAAAGGAGGAAGAAGGACGAGGAAGAAGGAAGGAAGGAAGGAAGAAGAAGGAAGGGAGGGAGGAAGGAAGGGAAGGGAAGGGAAGAAGGAGAAGAAGAGGAGAGAGAGAAGAGAAAGAAAGAAAGAAAGAAAGAAAGAAAGAAAGAAAGAAAAGAAAGAAAAGAAAGAAAGAAAGAAAGAAAACCAAGCCAGAGAGCTAGGAGTTGAGGGAAACGGGCACGGCTGTTTTATGCAGAGTACCAGGGAGGGTCTCCTGGACAAGGCCTTACTGGAGCAGGGTATGAAGGAAGTGAGTGAACAAGGCTGGGACAAAGGCTCCCAGGGTGGAGCGTGCTTGAGCTTTGCCAGCCACAAGTGCCTGGCAGGGCTGCAGCAGAAGGAAAGGGGGGCCTGTGGAAGGAGGCCAGGGCGGCAGAGGGCAGAGGGGAGCAGGCAGGTGGAACCCGAGTACCTCCCGTGTGGCAGACAGTGCTGGGCCTGTGAACACCAAGACAGGTCCGACACGGTCAGCGCCTCGAGGGGTTCATAATCATGTGGCAAAGACAGATGAGCCAGAGGAGAAGATCACTCAGAGGAGAAGACAGTAGGCAAGAGCCCCAGCACGAGTAAAGTGATTAGACACAGAGGAGAGAGCATGTTCTCTGCCCAGGAAAGTCAGGGATGGCTCCAAGAGGAGGAGCCATGTGAGCTGGGCATTGCAGGATGAGTAGGAGTTGGGAGCTGAAAGAGAGGCACTCCTGGTACAGAACCACGCTCTATAAATAGGGGCCAACGTTCAATTCTCTGGGATGCGTGAGGAGGAAATAGCCAGAGTGCTCATCGTGCACAGATAGTGCCTCAACTCTGCTTTTCAAAACTCCATTAGTAGCCACCTCCTCATCCGCCCACTTTGTTCCCAGCAGTGACTAATGAGAAACAAATTAACTAATTTGAGTTATCTCTTCTGTGACCCCAGGAAAGTGTTAGTGGGCAGAATAGGACAAGGGGACCAAGAAAAGAAGTAGAAAGAAGAGGGGGAGGAATCAGTCTCCATCATCCGGAAGCCCATGGATTGCTCTGCAGCTCCCTGGTGGCAAAATGCAGCTCTACAGAGAACTGGGTCTGCTTCTTCCCGATGAAACTGCATCTGTCTTGCTGCCTTCCTCTTAGAAGGGGGGGGGGGACATACATACGCACGCATTGTCATATATATATATACATACATACACAACATACACACACAGATGTGGGTACAGGTATGTGTATATATACATCTAAACACATGTATATATATGAGTGTCTGTGTGTATGTGTATATTATATAGAATTCATTCTAGAACCTAGCACAGAGCCTGATACAGTCTACCCCTGTCCCTCTTGCTGGCCGGAAGTTGAATGGATGGGTTAGGACCAACCTTGCTACCTGCACACTTCCTCAGATGTGCCAAGGCCTGTGCCCTTCATGGTGTCGGATATTCATAATCACACCAGGAGGGAGCCTTGGGACCAGGCACGGAAGATGAAACCAGTGCAGAGAGATGAAGTGGCTTGCCCAGGCCCCCAGCTCTCAGGAGGTCAGGATTCAATCTCTTTTCTGATTGTGTGTGCTGTGTATCTTTACATAGAGGTGGGGCCTCAGGTGGACCAAGGAGGAGAGTCTGAAACTAAGAATTGTCCTTGGACGTGGTTCTCACACCTTAACTCCAAAAATGCAGAACTGGGCAGAGCAGTGACATCCTGTTATGGAGTCAGACAGGCGTATGTCCGGAAGCCCTTTGAAAGCTACATCTTGCCTTGCAGCTGTCTGCTTGCATGCTCCCAGAGACAGGGAACTCATTACTTTGCAAGGAAACTGGTTCTATTGCCAGATACTGGACAGCTATCCCTCCTTACATGGTCATTTCTGAGCCTAGCCAGGTCCCATTTCTGGCTGGGATAAGCATCTCAGCAGTGAGGGGCTTCTAGGTGGGTGCTTTGCTCTCATGGAGCCTTTTGGAAACAGAGGCAGCCCCGTGACATGCCCTCCCCTGTGTTTGTCCTCTTGGAGATCCAGTTGCCTTTACCACAGCCAGGGCTGCTTGTTTTTGTTCTTGGAGGGGCCTCTTTGTTCATCCGAATGGGCTGGGAGCGAGACTTATTATTCCCTGGGCTTCTTCTCTTTTCCCTTGAAGAACTTCCTCTGACTTTTTCTTTAAAACTCTAGCTGTGCTCAAGGGGAGTGAGCACTTCCTTTCATATAAGGTGAAGTTCAAAAGGATTTTTAAAAACGAAACAGAAAGAGAAGGTGCTGGGAAGAGGCAGTGAAGGGAGAGGTGACAGTGTTCTCCAGGGGCAGCACCGTCCGCCCCTGCGCCCGCACGCTGGCCCGCTCCCCTGCACGAACATGCGCTCATCCTGCTCAGACCTGCTGGCGTGCCTTGTGTCCTCCGAACCCACAAAAGGGCCACCTCCTCAAGGAAGCCTGCCTTGATAGCCCAGCTGGAAAAAGTCCCTTTCTCCTCCAAAGCCCGCAGTGCTGCCTCTCTTTGGCACTTCTCAATCTAACAGGGATACAGATTTTAAAAAGAAGAAGGAAGGGAGGGAGAAAAAATGACCATGGTATCTGGGGTTAACTTGGGTTCTAGCCCACACTCTGGCACTGACTCACCATTTGACCTTGGACAACCCTCTTCCCTTCTCCATGGTAATGTGCAGGAATTGGGCTGCATTGTCCAGCTTCCATCTCTGAACTAGTCTTTCAGATGCACAGCCCCCAGAAGACTCCTTGAGTCCTGCTGAATCCCATGCGGCCTGCCAGGACCCCAGTGAGGGGTTCACATTCACACCTCCACCACCAGGAAGCCCCCCTGCAAAGAGAGAAATGACCTCTTGCCTCTTCGTGACATGGAGGGCCCCTATAAGCCCTCCGTAGGGAACAGCTGGCTCACGGAGTGCAAGGGGCTAAGCCTGCACCCCACCCTCCTGCTTGAGGCCTTCATGGAGACAGCTGCCAGCCCTGTGCAGCCACAGCCCCTGTTCAGTTCCTTGGTTTCAGTCCTCTCTTTTCCTTGCAGCTCTGTCTCTGCTCCTTCTTTGGGTTGGAAACTAGGAGAACCAGCTTGGAGGGGTTTGGCCCAGGTCTCAGGGTGAGTCTGCCTTTCTCAGTGTTTGCTGGGAGCTGCTGGCCCACTGGCCCTAGCAGCAGGACTGCACTGGCCTGGACGCAGGTCCAGGGACGGGGCTAGGTGCACACTGGCGGAAGAGTTATGTGGAATCGTGACTGCCGAAAGCAGCTTGGCCAGTGTTGCCACTAAG